CCTTAGGCGGGGTCATTCCCAAGTTCCCTGAAGGACAGGGCAGGACAGCTCCTTGTTGTGAATAACCAGATGTAGATGATCCCCAGGAAAGCAATTTGTTTGGGTTCCCTCTAGTGTATTTGCACTCCAAATTTGATGTACATTTCCCACCAGGACCCCTCAGTCAAGCCTGAGCCATAATCTAGCAGAAAGGCCTTCTCAAATTAAGGGACGATTCTCACCCCACTGGAACTCTGATTCATGAACCTTTTAATGATGCTTATTCTCCAGCAGAGGGGAGGATATTGCTCATAATAAAAGGGTATGTTTGGGGAGGGGTATGCACAGGGGAGCCGTCATCTGAAAATAGGATTAGGAATTTTAGAAATGTATGAAGTTCCCGAACCATGTCTCCTATCACATGACCCATTTGGTGTCTCCGGAAATCCCACATGGAAAATTGGACTGAAACAGGGAGACACAGCTTCCCCAGGGAGGCGGGAAGGCTGAAGTCGGCAAACTGAGCCTCCCTGGGAATGGTGGTGCCCTTGAACTTGCGGTTTAATAAATGAGCCAGGTCACCCGCTCTGGGAGGAGTCCCTGAGGTCTTATAGGTCATAGGGGCAGCCCACCCTGACCACAGTAGCCCACTTCCTGTCTTGGCCACACTCTCATCCCCAGTCACCACTGACTCTAAGTGTTACATGACTCAGCACCCAGAGCCACCAACCACTGAGTTCATCATCCCTGTTGGACAGGCCCAAGCAACCAGAAGTCCCCAAGTTCACTTGCATCTATAGGCTCCATATGAAATGATCTCCCTGCCCTGATGGAGAAAATGCAGCCCTTCCCCCTTAGGAGGGCCCTGTCCTTGGCCATGCCAGTGGCCACTGCAGCGAGGCACTCAACACACATCCTTTACATAACCACAACAGACCAGGATACAACACAGGAATCACACCTATGGTCTTTCCTCTGAGTCAAACAGTCAGGAAGTCATCCAACACATGCAGCTGAAATCTGTGTGCGGCACTGGCAGGGCATGGTGTGCATGGGTTAATAATAAAGTCTACAACTTGGTCGGCATTTGGGTTCCAGGTACTGTTTTAAGCACTCTGCATGTGTCAGGTCAAGTAAGCCTGACAACAGCCTTTTGTATCAACTTTATTTTACTGGAAACTGAGGCACAAACACGTTAAGTCATTTACCCAAGGCCATACCACAAAGTGACAGAACAGATTTCGAATCCAGACCACCTGCTTCAGGGACTCAAGTTCTGGGTAGCAGCTGATCCTGCTCCTCCACTAACAAGCCTTCTCTTTCAACAGCTCACCATCTAAGGGAGAGTAGGGTAAGGAACCAAGTAATCAGAACATGGAGCACTCTGAGCTAAGGTTGCTAATTCAGCAGGGCCCTGGTGCCTTAACTGGACATCAGAGTAAGATTCTGCCTTCTCCTGAAGGGATCAGTCTATGAACCATCCCAGAGGAATAAGAGCTTGGCATTTCCAGAAAATAGCAAGACACTCCACAGCTGTGAGCCATGGAGCTGGAGAGGCAGGTTGAGGCCAGTGTCTGAGAGGCCTTTCGTGCCAGGCCAGGGAAGGCAGGCTCTGTCTTGTGGGCAGTGGGGAGCCATTGAAGGTTTCAAGTAGGGCAGGAACATAACCCCCATCTAGAGGAAAGCCCTGGCACAAGGGACAGGGGCCATCTGTGGCCTGCCTGTGGCTGAAGACCTAACAGCCAACTCCCCAGAGCCTGGCCTGGCCTCCACTTGCCCTGGGCCCGGGGCGGGACCAGGGGAGCCGGCCGACTGTCTCCAGATGATTAAGGAGCTGGCAGTGGCTCCTTGGTCCAGGGAGGCCCAGCCAGCAAAGCACAGTCTTCCCTCTTCCCCTTTTGGCACCGGGTGGGCCTATTGATGTTTATCAGCCCATGTTTATTATTCTTAACGCTGCTCAGGATGTTCCTCCCAGCTGGGGAGGGTGAGGCAGGCCAGCGGGGAGAGCACAAGGACGGGACCTTGGCTTCACTGCCACCCAGGATTTGTGTCAGAGCTGGGAGGCTCACAGCTCGGCCAGTTCTGCCTCCTCGTTGACAGATAAAGAAGTGGAGGCCAGAGACTAGGAGAGATTTGCTCAAGATCACAAGCAAATTCAGTACAGAAGACTGTCTGCAAAAGAGAACTGAACGTGACCTCAGATCTCACTGTCCCTAAGACCCTGGATCTGACCTTCGTGTCTCATTCAACAAACACTTACCACATGCCTGTTGTGTATTATCCAGGAGTTATGGTGGGGGCAGCTGAGATGGGGCTAGAAAGGGGGTAGGAAGGGTACTCTGAGTAGAGAAAACAGTTTGGGTAAGAACCTGGAACATGGCAATGGTTCTGGAGCTGGATGTGCCTAGCACACAGAGGGAGGTGGGTCGAGGCAGGAAACGCAGCTGAAGACACCAACAGGGCTCATTTCTCTCCCCGAGGTTTCCCATGCAGGGGCAGAGTAGCCAGCTGCCCTTATTCCTCCAAGTAATGCTCAAGCTCATCCCCGCTGCCTCCAACTCCACCGTTAGGCCAGCATCCCTCAGATTCTCACTGCCCACAAATGCAGCTGAACCAGACTGGGGCGGGGAGGGAAGGTGTGAATCCAGTTCTGTCTGCTCACTGGGGGACTCCACTTCCAGAAAGTAGGGGTTGATGAGAACTGGCCCTTGAGGACCATGCGGGGGCCCTCTTTATAGGTGGTAATGTCCCTCTGGAGCCTAAGGCAGCGAGGCTGAGGCCAGGATCCCAGCTTGAACAGCCCCTCTAGGCTAGATCTAACCCCCCTCCCTGCACCTGGGATTCCAGGGGGCAGGCCACTGCCCACCCTGAGCCCAGGGTGGTGCCGCTCCAGACCAGGGCTGAGTGGGGTCCGGGAGGAAAGGGCACCCTCCTGCACTCTGTCCTCCCAGGCCATTTCTGCCCTGAGCCTTCCCAGAGATTTCCCCTCCAGAGTGTCCTCCCCAAATACCCTTCCTGATTCTGAGAACACTTGGGAGATGAGAACTCAAGACTCAGGCCCACAAGTTGCCCTGTATTAGTTCACACTCATTTCTCTTTTCTTGTAGCCTCTGGCTGATTGTGTTCTTCCCTCTGAAAAGGCTGGGTCGGTACTAATCCATGCTAGGTTCTTTCCAGCCCTCACTGAGCCTGCCAGAAACTGGGGCAGGATCGAGGAGGCACTTGATGACCTTCTGCCTTGAACCAGTCCCAAGAAGTTGACTCTGAGCCTCAGGGTTGAGACCCAAATCTATTGTCTTCAGGGTTAAGGTCTTATTGTACCCCACCCCCCAAGCCCGCACCAGACCCTGAGTACCAAGGGCTTGAAGGGAGGCAGAAAAGAAACCAGGAAGGAAGTGTGACCCTAGAAGGACTTGGGGGCATCTGCTGGACGACAGGGAGCCAGATCAGCCCATGCTCCTGGGACATGAGGAAGAGGGCAACAAGATGTGATGACTGGTCAGCCACCCAAGCCACAGAGTTCACCGTTGACTCTGGGCTTGTGGGGCTGCCTTTCCTACCAGCACTGTGGCCTGTGGGCCAAACCCTTGGCTCCAAGGGCCTCATCTGGATGATGAAGGTGTTGGGTGGTCCAGAAGATTCCTACAAGCCTTCCCAGATCTGACCATCAGGATTCTGTTGTTTTAATCCCATGTTCTGTGATCGCAGTGCACAGTGGTGGAATGTGTTTCCAACCTCAATATCTCAAAAGCAGAGCCCTGGAAGCCCACATTAGTAAATTCTCATGGCCCTTGTGCAGTGTCTGAAATGACCAGTGCAGCTCAGGGTTGAAGAGTGGCGTCTCCCTAATAGCCAAGGTAGCACAGATCAAACAGCCAAACCACACACAGAGCTTCTGTTAGTCATCTGTGCTCAAGGCCAGTTGTAGTTAAGGCCATGGGCTTTGAAGGCCAGAAGAAGCCCATGGAATTAGGGCACAGCTCAGAGCAGGGAAGTAGACTCAGCATGAATGCCTGTGTGGGCCAAGAGTGATCATAAAGGCAGCATTGATCCATCACTCCATTCAGCTCATCAGCCATCCATTATTCATCCTTTGAGTTTTCCCCTGGCTGCAGTTACATGCCAGGATCTGTGAAGATTAGGTGAGTAAGACCATCTCTACCCAGAGGAGTGCATGACCAGGCTAGCAACACAGATGGGTAGTGCAAGTTAAGGGCCATTAAAGCTTCATGAGGCCGAGTCTGGTGTCTGCCTGGCAGGGGTGGCTCTGAGGGAGCAGCATGCAGAAGGAGGGGCCAGGCCTGGACCTTGCTGTGTGGGTAGGTGCTGGGCTGGTGATCAAGGACCAGAGGCCTCAACAGCACAGCACCCCCAGCCCTGCCTCCCAGGGGGCTGGGAGCCATGCTGCAGGGAATGGATTTTAGCCAGAGGCCACAGAAGGGCTGGAAGTGCAACTTGCTCCAGCTTGTGCCATCAGGTTAAGAATGGCAGGGCTCTGAGCAGGTGCAGTAAGGAGGGAAGGAAGGGTAGAGGGAGCATGCACTGGCCTGGACCACTGCTGCAGGGAGAGGGGAAAGCGGGGTATCATCCTACACACCTGGTTTTCCCATCTGAGCAACGAGGGAGGCAATGTTGAACACATCAGAGTGGGTTTAGGAGAAGATGCCAAGTTCAGCTTTCCCCGAATCACACACAGCCATGTTTCCTTCAAGTGTAAAAGGTTCTGTCGGCAATTCATAAATGATTTATTGCTCCTCCCTGTCTGCATTCATTATCCTTTGGATTCTGAGTCCTATACCCAGAAACAGAGAGAGGCACAGAGACGGGGAGAGAGCCCAAGAGAGAGTGATCAGAGAGGACTGAGTCTGTCCTTCTCTCTCCTTCTGCCCCTGGTCCCTGCCTCTCACAAGGGTGGCCAGTCCTGGGGCCTGCACGGGGCCTGCATCCACTTCCTCACCTCATTCTGACAGCAGTCCTTGAAGCCTTGCGAAATGGAGGCCCCAGGAGGGACTGTAACTTACCAGAGGTCATCCTTCTAGGCAGTAAATGTTTCCTGATGCTTGCAGTGTGGTGGCCACCGGGGTTCACTTCTCTGTTTCCCTTTGTGACCATCAGCAGCATCAGGAGGTGGAGGGGGATCCCAGCAGGGCCTGGGACATAGCAAGGGCTCATCTTGGTCCAGGGAACTAGGTGGCCAGGGATGCCTCTGGTGGATGCATTGGGTCAGCAGGGAGGGGGTGGTCTCTGCTCCAGATGAACAGTTGAGAATATGAGAAAAAAATGTGAGGTCTGCATCCCTGTGGAAGTGCCTCCTGACCTTTTCTAACGTGACGTGGTTCGAGTTTTCCGGAAGCCAAGCCCCCCAAATAATGGTTCTACTCTCTTTTCTAATAAATAGGTGGCCCTGGGCCCAGCTCTCTTCTCTGCTTTGTCATGAGGGACCCGTTATTTATGACTTGGGAATGAGTCACAGGCCTTGGCAAGGAACTCACAGCTCTGGGCCCAGTGTATTTTTCCACTCAGTAGCAAGAGAAGGAAGATGCTTGTAAATCCTCCCATTGAAATGACTGTGTAGGTATCTTCACAAGGATACTCCTCCCGGCTCGACTGTAAATCTTCTACTCGTTGGACATTCTTGGTGGTCTTTGGCTGGCACAGGAGAAGTAGGTGGGGGTGCTCATGGACTCTGGGCTCAGCTCCCACCCCAGCTGCCAGGCCACACAACTACATGCCTCAAAAAGTGCCACGTATTCTGTGGGGGGGTTTTCCAAGTCACCCTGGGCACTGTGAGTTGAAGAAGATGAAGGGGTCAGGACAGTGAGTCCCAAAGAAGGTAAGGGTGAAGTGTGGGAGAAACAGGCCCTAGGAGGGAAAGAGTTTCCCGGTTTTGCCAGGGCCCCCCAGCTCAGTCTGCATTCCTCATTCACTCCTGACTCTGTTGGACTCGACCTGCACCTCTCCCAGGCCTGCATGGACATTCTGGGTTTACTCCTACTTCCCTGTTTGCTCCAGCTCTTCTTCCTTTCCCCAACCCCTCCCCTCACAGCCCCTAGTCAGGTACTATGCTCAAGCCATCAGACCATGCTACGATTTCTTACTTTCTATTTGTTTGACTTACTGTTAGATTTTAAGCTCTCTTTTCATCACTTTCACTATGACTAGGCACTTGATTTGGGGCATAGGTGGGAGAGGTTCAAGAACTATAGAAGGAACTGAGATTTTTTTACCCTACTTGCAAGCTAGCAAGTTTGCCTGACACTGCTTCGTAGATGCTGGCAGAAGACACAAGATTCCTGGCTCAGAGACAAAGGACAGTTTCCTACTGACAGTGATGGTAATATCCAGATCATCAGCATTTGAACCAGTGTGGGGAGTCATCATTCCTACAGAGTGAGGCAAAGAGGGCCATGTGATGTTTGCATATATCATAGGCTGAATTACAAGGGTGGATCCCTGAGTTTAGGGAGCCTGACTGTTTTATAATAGGCAGTAAGCATGCTTAAACTTGACCCAGAGGAAGATATTCTCTTTGTTGTACTCAATAGTAAACAAAGCTGCCCTCTGCTCAAGAGGGAGAGACCTTCTCTGTCTTCATAGACTGTTAACCATGCAAACAACCTTGAAAAGGTCATCAAGAATAAAGCAAGCCCAGGCCTGTGCTGGCAAGGAGTACAGGAGAGACCCATAGAACATTATCTCCTAATAGGAAGCTTATAGTAACCATCTCTGGCTAGCATTGTCCCCAAATCCTGTGATCTCCAACTCTGAAGTGCACTCAGTCTTGGTGAGGCTGTACCCATTTATAGAAGCTCACTGCAGCAGACTCTTTGGTGCCCTGCCACCATCCTCAGCAGTCACTTGACAAACTGAAGACTTTATTACAGGTACTTGGCCTACACATGGGACAAGCCTGTGGTGCTGGAGGCTTAGTGCTCCTGGAAGTAGTCCTCAGCCAAAGAAAGATGAAGAGGTGGTGGATAGACACCCCAGCTTCCTTCCCCTTGCTTGACTATCTCCCAAGTTCCCAGTGAAACCGAGCCCCGGTTGCCCACATGAAGAGCTACTTGATGGCACACCCTGGGATTCTCCCTTGCTCTGGCTCATTCTTGCACTCCTAGTAGTTTCTGGGATCACTTCTCTACTTGCACTCAAATCCTTATCTCAGGACTGCTTCTAGGGGACCCTAACCAAAGATACTTAATTAACACTATAATGCACTCTGTTCAAAAAAATGAAACATATATTGTCCTCACAATACAAAGCACAAGTAAAGAAGTTAAGCTTACCACACTCAACTTGACTCCTGGAGACACGCAAAAGGTAGCAACAATTTCTTGGAGAGAGGGGTAGATCAATGGAGAGAAGGGAAACATGGTATTAGAGAGGCCAAGATAACTGAATCTAGGCCCTGAGAACAGAGCAACTGAACCAACCTCAGATAATACAAAAGGGAGACATGCGAGAACCATTGGCCAGAGAGGTATTTGCCTGTAGTCTTCCCTTCTGTGAGCTCTCCCCACATTATCCAACTCCAAGTATATTGCTTCTTTTCCAGACTCTTCCCTTATAGGAATCTCAATCACTCACAAGTGTGAGTATCTGAGAATAGCTGTGAATGGATCCCTGGGGTACTGACTTTACAACAAGCCTCAAAGCCTTGAGCTAAAGTAAGGAATACCCAAGAAGGGCAATGGGGTGGGAGTCAAGAGCATCAGTACAACGTGGGGAGCTTGTCCAAACCACACACTTAATAATTTGGAAACATCCCAAGAGTGGGCTGAAAGTCTACAGTTCAGCCACAACCCTGCAGAATTTCCATTCTGCTCGGGACCATTTGCCAGACTTCCTCTTCAACACAGACACTGGAAATTCTCCCCAACAACCCTTGACAAGTAGATAGAAACCTATGAGGAAACTACTAGCATTAATTGTGCTGTGCTAAGTCAATTCAGTCCTGTCCAACTCTGTGTGACCCCGTGGACAGTAGCCCACCAGGCTCTTCTGTCCATGTGGTTCTCCAGACAAGACTACTGAAGTGGGTTGCCATGCCCTTCCCCATAGCATTAATTAGCACTTATCATTATTGCTTATTATCATTATTATCCCTTGAGATAGAACAGCTCTTCAACTTTTCAAAGCTTCATCACTTTGACCATATGTCGTTTGAGACTCTTCTTCCCCCCAGTCCCCATTAATATAAAATTTAAAGTAATATCATCCTCATTTTACAAATAATGAAACTTTGGATTATAAAAGGAAAACTAATGGAAATTTTCTTAGTTTCCAGATGAGAAGACTGAGGCTCAGAGACACTGGCTTGCCAAAGGTCACAGAACATGCTGGTGTCACAGAGAATAAGAGGAGTGACTTGTAAGTAGTAGCTATCACTAGCTGGGTATTTACAGTCTGCCAGTTCCTGCATGCTGAATATATTCCGTTCATGATCTTTATTAATCCTCAGAACAACCTTGCCAGGCTGATGCTATTATTATCCTCATGGAACATATGAGGACCTCAGGTTCAGTGTGGTTCACGTCTGCGAGTGGTCATGGCTGGGTGGCATGGCTCTGCATGGAGTTAAGCTTCCTGGCCCACAGCTTTCTCCAAGCATGAGCCAATCAGACCCGACAGCCAGACGTCTGGGCTGGTGACATCAGAGCCTAAGGCGGGGGACTGGGGGACAGCCAAGTTCTGGCTGGTAGCCCCCTGCCTAGACAGTTCCCATGTGCTGAACCACATGGGAAACAGAGTAAAGAAGTGTGCCTGTTCCTCCCTGCTGAGGACACCCTGCCAATGCGCCTGGGGCTGGTCTTTATATACCAAACCAGCCCACAATTTCTGGGCCCTAGTTGGGCAGTGGGAGGCCTTGGACTCAATCCTTGCAGCTCCAATTCCAGTGCAGGCAGCTCCAGTGCAGAAAGGACCCAAGTCACTAGCCATCCCAGTACTCCCAGCAAAGCAGAGCACAGAGCCTCCCTTGCCCCCATCAAAGAAGCCCCTGTTCAACTATTTGGCCATCCCTTTCTACCAATCTGCTCCATGGTCTCTTCCCAGGGAGACATGATGCTCTCCTCCCAGGCCTGGCCCATGGCTCAGAATGTACACCCAGGCTGACCTCTCCACTTTGTTTGGGGAATGTTTGGTGTGAATACCAGGCAAAGTCTTGGGTCACTGGCAATGAAAGTCTGCTGCAGCATCCCTATCCCTGAGCCCCGACACTTGCCCTCTGGCAGTGAACCTTGAAACCTCCTCAGGATCCAGATGTTTGGTGTCCTGCAGTCTGGCCGCCGTCCAGCCACACCACAGCAGCATTAATGGACCGTGTAGGCATGGAGACTTCTGCTGGGCAAGATGGAGGTCAGTTTACTTAACTTGGTTATAAACAAAAGCAATAATTAGCCTGGGTGAGGGCGGAAAGGGAAAAGGAATAAATCAAGCCCAGGCTGAAGAAACACCTGTGGAAAGAACCCCTCAGCCTAGGGGAATAGCTGCTGCCGTAAACAAGCCACGAGCGACCTTGGCTCACAGACCATTAATTTGCCGATTGTTGATGGGTTTACACAGCCTAAAATGAGAAGAAAGCCATGGTCAGGCCGCAGCCCAGTCACCCCGTTTGGGAGCGTTTAGTCATTGAAACAGCAAGGTGGACCAGTCCTGGTCTAGGGCCGTAGGCCTGAGTGGGGGCTCTGCCATCACGGGGGCACCCAATGAGGCGCATGCCCTCTACAGGCTGGGAGACGGGTGGGGGGCGGTCAGATTTGCACTCAGACAACTCCAGGAATAAGCAGAACCAGACAAGTATATGTATGGGTCAAGACTTTTGGTTGCAACTTGAACCAGTTTAGGAAAAAAGATGAGTATTGCCTCACAGAATTCAGTCAAGTAATGGCAAGAGTGAGGATACAACTGGGCTTCAGGTGCCCCCAGATTTCTCTCTGTGTGTGTCTGTCTTGCTCTCTCATCTCCATCTCTCCATCTCCATCTTCATCTCTGTCTCTCATCGATGGCTGTCTGGTAGTAAGTTCCTTCTCTTAATGCATAGTGACTTCTTTCACACAAAGAAACAGCATCCAATAGCTTCCTAATTTTCCATACCACTTCTACCTCATTCTCCTCAGTTTCTGTTTTTAAAAGCATATCAGAGATATGAAATTGAATGAGGTAGTTGGTCT